ACTGAACAATGAAAGAGATTCTTGCTCATTTCAAGGCCGTGGAATCCAGTGGCAATTGAGGGTTTGCATTGTAAATCAAGCCTGTCATCTCCTTGTCAACTGGGAAAAACCTCTACTCACTTTATGTACTATTAGGGTTTGTTATTAAGACTTTGTGTTGTTTTCCAAAAATCTGAAGGGAAATTAGACTCAGAAGGCATTTGTTCTAAGTGAGCACCGAGTCTGAACTTTGGAGAAGAGGAACAAAAAACAGAACGATTTGGAAAGTCCTAAGTGATTAGACAGTGTCTGCCACAATTATGACTGTATCTCACCAAGTTTATGGAGTCACTCAGTGTTTCCCAATGGGTGCTCTGTCGGGATCATAAGTAGCAAGCATATGGCTAATAGACTGGTCTTCAGTGCCTCCAGTGTCTATGGCAATATTAACAGACCAAATTTTTAATGAATTAATATGCGTACATGTGAAATTTAATGAAAACTAGCCTCATCTCAGTGTTTTCACCAAAATCAACTCTGACATCTTCTTTCTCGAAGTCTGGTAACATGTCCTCTCCGGCCGTAACCGAGAATGAGTGGAATAAGTGAGCTGCACCGCCTCTTGCCTTGCTGAAACTTTGGTTCTGGGCCAAAAAGTTTGAGAACCACTGCCTTAGGAGTGGAGAAAAGGCAGGCTGTTTGGGGGTGGTTTATTATGATGATTCAGGATTCATTATCCATTCCACAAATATTTATTGAACGCCTACCATGTCAGCTCTGTGCAGCGGAGCCTGGGGTATGGCAACTGCCAAACAAAACTGGGCTCATTAAAATGTCCCAGCTGGTAAAACAACAGAATGGGAAATACGAGGATGAGGGGTGACTGCGGGAGTACCTAATGCCGATCAACCTGGCTAAAATCATGTCTGAGTGATTTGCCCCGCATGATGGGTGATAAAACAGTATTTGCAGGGCTTTCATAGGAGTCTGTTTGAAAGCATAGTCATTACACTATTCTGCTAGAAAAGAACCATAATAATAGACCATAAAAATAGAGCACGGCTCTTCACTAATACATCAGACCAGATCGTACTAGTTGATAAAAGTAACAAAGCCCATGTGGTAGAGTGCTGCCATTTAGTAAAACTATCACAAACACCCACACAGCAAGCAGTGAGCAAGGGCGTGCTGTTTGCAGAGGGTTGAATGTGGGAACCACAGTGCATCAAAATAAAGCAGTTGAGGTTCACACACTTATATACACACACCCACTCACCGTCAACTTTATTAATCACTTAAGCCTATTTTATTTTAGCAACTGCCATTTTACCTTAGGAATTTTATTCCAACACTGTGTTGCCACAACATTTGGGCTGTGGGATCCATAGCATATAATAAATTAGGGCAGATTCATTCATGTTTAAAAAATAGAATAATAAAGTGACAGTAGTAACTCAGTTGAATATACTGATGAATGGAATCTGAACTCTTTGAAGGAAAACTGTATTTCCCTGATTAATCGTATTCCTCTAACTGCAACATCCATACCATCATGGCTCAATAAGACAGAGTAAATCTGTATGGCTGGAGCCTGTTGTCTTTTCAGGCATCAATGCCATAGCATAATTCCGTGACATTTGCTGCAGCTCATATGCGCACTACAGGTTGGTTATAGCACATTGTAAGCAACAAGTAAGATAAAATAGCTAGTGTTGATACCAGGCAGAATTGCCAAACTCTTACCATTATAGACTTGAATTTATGGGGAAGGTCGGCATTTTGGTGAACGAGGGTGTGGGGTAGAGTTACGATTATGGTAGAAAAATACTGTCTTCTCATACTTACCTGGCAGGTAATGTAATTTAATGAATCTCTTTTCACCTTCAGTAGTGACACTTACAGTCTCGACCACTTCTATTAGTTGGACACTGATCTAATTATTGTCATTAATTACTACTTTTAGATGGCCACCATAAATGCATTTATATGGAGCTTTCCCTTTTTACTGTCTGATAATCTTAATACTGGTTAGTAATGTTACTAATATTGGCATTCTTGTTACCTTAGCTACTAAAGCTCTTCTGTGGCGTCCAGGGAAGGCTCACCTTATAGCAATTTCTCTTTTATAAATAGAGAATAGTTAACGCTACAGTGAGGATTCAGTAACACTTATCCACGGAACCTCTCTGGCACCCAGCCACCTCCAAACACACACACTTACATATAGAGACCTTTCTCCATAGTTTGAGCATGTTGTACAGGCCTCCTCACTGATCAGTGTGATACAGGAATGAAGGAGCTGAAGATTATATTCATAGCCTTATTGTAAAGGAGGGGAAATTGAAGCCTGACACACTTAAATGACCCAACAGTAGTTGGGCAGATTACGGTCCCAGAGACAGAAAAGTTCCAGGAAGGCATTTAAAAATTTACTAGAAAAACAGCATATTCAATTAATGGATAACTCAATTACTCTGTTGTTCTTTCTATCTTGGATCAAAACCACCTTCTCACCCTTTATTTTGAGGCTTAGAAGTAAGTCAGCATTCGCAGGGGAGAGAAGGGATCCTCTGCGATACGTGATTTGAGAAGTTATTTTTTTTTCATATTTAATAAATATTGTTTTTTTTTTTTTTACAAATAGTTTATTGTCAAATTAGTTTCTACATAACACTCAGTCAGTGCTCATCCCCAAAGTGCCCTCCTTCATGCCCATCCCCCCCACCCCCCCACAACCATCAGTCCTCAGTTTTTGTCAGCATTCAAGAGTCTCTCATGGTTTGCCTCTCTCCCTTTCCCCCACCATTTCCACCCTTCTTCTCCCCCTTGTTCCTCCGTCAAGTTCCTCCTAATCCTCCTATACGTGCAAACATATGGTATTTGTCCTTTGAGAAGTTATTTTAATTGCTCATGACTTTCCTCAGACAGGAACAAGTGGAAAGCTTCAAAAGATATTTTTTGTTTTTCTTCTCCTTCTCCTTCTTCTTCTTCTTTTACATATAATAGAGTAAAATGATTTAAAGAATACATCTGATCCAGGAAAGCTATAAAATTATGCCAAGTTACTGTGTTGGTAAGTGACCAGTGGTAGTCATTCCAGACACAGAGTGGAAAGGGTATTACTGAGTGAAAATTGTATAAGAGGAAGAAGAATTTGCAACTTGGTAAATTTGTTTTGCTCTTTAATATCTGACGAGGAGTGTTACATAAGGCAAGTCTCTTTGCTTTGTATTTCGGAAAAGTGAAAGTGTGCACCTGTTTCCCAAAGAATATATATTAAGTCTGTTAGTGTTTGGGGCAAGGGTATAGTGACAGCTTAGCATTGGCTTTTTTTTTTTTTTTTTTTTGCAAGATAATAAAGCTGCTTTGGACAAAGGGTACCTATTTCTTGAGTAGAAACAGAGTTCCCTCTTTCAAGAGTGAAGGTGACTTGGGACTCCTTTGGTATCACCTCAGGTATCACTGGAAGGATTCCTTCCTGTGCTTCAGAGATGAAGCAATGGGTTTTAGTCCCCAATAGAGGCATGTCTCACCAGCAGCACATGTAGCTGAATTAAACTCAACTCTAAGATTGGCAAGAGAGGTTGCCTGGTTTAAATTGTGAAACTTAAGGGGCGCTTGAGTGGCTCAGTCGGTTAAGCCTCTGACTTCAGCTCCGGTCATGATCTCATGGTTTGTGAGTTCAAGCCCTGCATCTGGCTCTGTGCTGACAGCTCAGAGCCTGGAGGCTGCTTCAGAGTCTGTGTCTTCCTCTCTCTCTGCCCCTCCCCCACTCATGCTCTGTCTCTCTCTCAAAAATAAATACATTACAAAAATTTAAAAAAATCATGAAACTTAAATTTGCATAGTATTTCATGATGTTTAAAAAATTTTTATGTGGGGCTCCTGAGTGGCTTAGTCGGTTAAGCGTCCGAATTTCGCTTAGGTCATGATCTCGCGGTTCGTGGGTTCGAGCCCCACATCGGGCTCTGTGCTGACTGCCAGCTCAGAGCCTGGAGCCTGTTTCAGTCTGTGACTCCCTCTCTCTCTGACCCTCACCTGCCCACGCTGTCTCTCTCTCTCTCCTAGAAATAAATTAAAAAAAAATTTTTTTTTTATGTTACTGTATAGTATGGATTGGTAACCACAAAGTCATGTGTAGGTACTTTTATCGGTTTGGGGGAGGATTTGTAAAGGTAATTCTGAGTACACTTAATTTTTGCCTCATAAGCTTACCTTAGAACCTAACCCCCACATAAAAAAAGACCACACTCTAGTTTAACATATGCTTGAGACCATAAAATAAGATTTCTCTCCACAAAGCCACCTTACTCCAGACAACTTCTGTAGATCAGATGGGCACTGGCCTTAATGTAATATTGATTTCCAATCAGCCTGTACAACCAAATTAACAAAATATCCCAGGTAATGTTTTCTGTCTTTTCTGGTTTCTGTTTCTCCCTGCATAACTCGGTTACTTTCTGTTGAGACATTCATGAATGCCTGAGATGAAAGGGAATTTAGACCATGGCTCACCACCGGGGCCATTGGCTAAGCTGGCGGCAGAGCTATTTTGCATCCTGTGGCCATCTTGGTGGGTGATCATGGGTGAATTATTTGACTGCTGCTCAGGGTTGGTCACCACGCTGTTGACACCCCCATCTACTGCCTCCTCTCCCGCCAACTCCAAAGGGCAGGTGTGAACTTTACTTTGGAATCTTCTCGTGCAGGTGCAGTCTTACCAGGTAGTAACACAGTCCAGGTGGCTTTCCAGAGGCAGAATTTCTGCTGCCACAGCCCCCTGGCATTTTTCTTCAAAGTACAATAAATAGGCACTCCAACGAACAATAGGAATGCAGACTGCAGGAAGCCTAATGAACTTTGGCTGGGACCCGTGCTCACGTTAACGTTTCTCTTGTCTAATTTGGGGATTGGCGTAGAAAGAGGCTCCGAGCAATTGCCTTTCTCATGTTCCTCAGGTAGAAGCAGGAGATATTCATGGCTCTCTGTTTTCCTTCCTCCCTCTCCCCGTGACCCTTCAGATTTATGAGGAATCCAAGATGAATTTGGAGCAGGAGAGGCCATTTGTCTGCAGTGCTCCAGGCTGCTCTCAGGTGAGTGTGAGAATCCTTTGGTCTGTTTTGCCAGAGACTACCTGCCGTTTGACAGGGAAACAGCTCTCACTGGGCAATCGTGCCTGCTGTGGGCTTGCTTTCTACACCAAGATATTGTCCAAAGCCCCCCTCTCCATCCCCATCCCCATCATCCTCTTCCTCATCGTTACTCTTTTCTCCTTTGAATAGTTTGAACTCCTTCTCTCAAAGCCCCGTGAAATATATCAGCGTTGGCCATTTCCATCCTTAACTTTCCCCTGGAAGTAAGCCAGACGCATCCTGCCCACCAGATGTTCAGGACTGTTATTTTAGAAAAGGGAGGGAGGATGCTGCTTTTACAATAGTCACTTGATACAGAGCCTTTGGGTTACTGGTGGAATAGCTCACCATCGGAGCTGAATTCTGTTTTGTTTTGTTTTCCTCTCTGAGTAAAATAAACCCCTATAACTCTTCTAGAACCCACAGTTTTTCCATTTATCTAAACTCTTAAGAGGGGAACTTGGCATGCCGTGCTAGATTAAACCTCTTTGCTTCCAGTGGCTCCCATCAGGTGGAATCGTTGTGAGGATTAGATGAGATACTACATGAAGGGTATTTGGTATAAGGCCTGCACGTAATAAGTGCTCTATTAATATTCACCGTTGTTACTATTACTGCTATTGTAATTATGGACTGTGTGGCAGGATTTCTCAGGCTCGAAACTACTAGCACTTGGGGCTGAATAATTCTTTGTTGTGAGGGCTGTCCCGTGCATTACGGGATGTCCAGCAGCCTCCCTGACCGCTACCTCCCAGATCCTAGTGAAAACCAAAACTGTCTCCAGGCACTGCTAAATGTCCCCTTGGGGGCCAGAATGGCCCCTGGTTGAGAATGACTGCCTGATGGTTTGCGTGTTTTGGCTTTGGCTTTGTTTCTTTTTGGACCCCTTCCCTCTCGGGTGTCCCCTAATTTGAACCGATGCTCTCCCATCCCATTTGATGTGTTGCTGTGAGCCATCTTTTCTCCTTTTTGGAATCTGGCAGGGTATAAATAAATAATGCCACAGACGTGTGGTCACCAGTGTCAGACGCTGCTAGAGCCGGTGTCAGTGAGAGGCTGAGCAGAGGCTGTTGGGTTTGGCAGTTGGGCTCTGGCGGGTGACCTATGAGAGAGGAGTCCAGGAGGGGGCCACGTTGGAAGGGATTAACCAGTGAGTGGGTGGTGAGGAAGTGGAGGTGGCAAGCATAGAGGACTCTTTCAAGAGCACTAGGGAATGACGGGAAACAGAGTGATATAATGGTAGCCTGAGAAGGAAGCAGCCTGAGAGAGGTTCTTTTTAAATGAAAGGCTAACCAGGCAGGATGTGGCCCAGGGCAAGGAGACGTGGGCATGCTAGATTGAAGAACCAAGGGCTGAAGCATCAACTCAGGAAAACACAGGGTGTAAAAAGCCATCGAGAGAAGGGGGGTGTTATTCCTCTGAAGCAGGAGGGAATGGAAGTAGCATCTATGACGTTACATGCAAATTATGAGGTGAAGATAGCAGTGAAGGCTGAAGAGGTGCATTCAGTGAAGAGTGCCTAGAATTCAGTAAAGGAGCAGGTCATTTCTTGGAGAAGGCTGAGTGGACTGCTTGGACAAAATGACAGTTGAGGATTTCCATAGTTTCTAGGTTTCACGGTAAAGCTCCAAGCCTTCCCCCTCAACTCCTTGCCTCATTTAAATGTAAAGATGTATCTAAAACTTGATGTTTTTATTTAACGTGTGTTTCTTTTTCTTGACAAGCAGTTTTTAAAAATATGTGCATCTTTCAATTGAAGGGGTGTCAGAATTGAGGAAAGGAGGTGGTTCCCTAGTGAGTCCAAGGGTCTCCCAGTGGAGTGTTGGCAAGTCACAGTCAAGTCAATTTGTGTGATCCTGACATCACTGTAGTGACCTTCCGGAGCCTGGGGACCTGCAGAGAGAAGAAAGGATGGCTGGGGATTGAAAAGGGGAGAGTAAATATGAGTTACCAAGTGCTTGTCCTACACTGGGCGTGATGGAAGGATCTTTCCCCCTTTTCCCTCACTGGAAAGAAGCTTTGCTACATTAGGAATGGTCTACAGTACCTGGGAGGTTTTTTGTGTTATGGCTCCTTATGTATTAGCTTTGTCCCAGAAGTCATGAGAAACAAACTTCTTTTGCTCTTTCTGATCTCACAGAAATTGTCAATTTCACTGCCCCTTTGCCCTCAGCATGAACATTTTTGAGTTCCGGTGGCCTCTCTGAGCTGCATATCTGTTGTAGACTGTCCATTTTGGTTATTTATAATTTGCTGCTATTTTCCTGGTTTAAAAAAAAAAAAAAGACCCATGATGTCCTGTATAGACTCGGGAGATATGTATAGTTCATGTGACGTACTGTGGAAGTTATTGTTATTTAATAAGTATTCTGGTTAATATTCCATTTTAGGCTGTTATTTTATGGAGCCAAAAAATGGCGTACAAATACAAAATGGAAGGTATTACCATGTTGTTTGTTGATTATATATATCACAGTGAAAATTATAATAAGGATTTTAGCAGAAAGACTAGGAAGTTTAACCTGTCTATAAACCACACGTGGTAGTGTCCCATACTATAAGGTGCTATAAAAGACCAAAAGAATAGATGAAACTACACCAAAACCCCATGTCGTTATAAATCAGACTTCCGTGTAGTTAGAAATCTGACATAATTACCATGCTTTGCAGATTCTATATGCTCTAAATTATATGATACAAGTGACCAATAAACAAATGATATTTATTCCCCCAACTAGTTTTATTCCAAAGGATTTAGCCCAGTGAATTCCCTCATTCATATGAACACAAATCTGTACTATTTGCAGAGAAGATTTCTACTACGGTATACAGTGTAATTGAAACTTAAAATGACTGTCCCTAGGGACTGGGAAGGTCCAAGAGATTTTCTAAATTGTCAAAGATTCAGCAATGTTCCGCAGTGTTTATTGCCTTTGGTTGTATTTTCATTTGACTTTAATAAAGCAGATACTTTGTTCAGTTATTACACCATACCAGTCTGAGTCAGGAGAGGCTAGGATCTGCTGCAGTAACAAGTTTCCCCAAAGCTTCAATGGCTGAAAACAACAATTGCTAATTTCAGTTGCTCAAGTATCCATTTCCATTGTATCCTGGCAGGACATTTTTCATAATCTTTTAGAATTCAAAAATACTCTTCATTTTCCTTCAGAGATTTAGGAAGATTGAGGGGCCACTATTTCTCATATTGTAATTTGCCATACTAAAGGGGGGATGGTCTTGCACCACAGGCTACTTGCTGACATATGAGTAACGTGTCATTTTCTTTCATGACTCCGTGGGCAGAACTAGTCACAGGATTCCACCCAACCACAGAGGGCCAGGAAATCCAATCCCACCATATGACCAGAAGCCAGACAGCTGAAAACATTTGAGAGCTGTATTTTTGACAACCATAATGTCATTCTTTGAAAATTAATAATAAGGTGTTGATTAACTATACCGTGCAGAGGAGAGAATCCTAAAAATGATCTGCCATGTTGCTATAAGTCATATATATACTTATAAAAGATCACATAATGAGTGTGCAAGGTTTTCATAAACAGAAACATACTATACAAAAGTCACGTGCACATTTGTAGGTGTGTATATCAAATAGTTAAGCATGATGTGTAATTCTTTCCCAAGGTCTGACATGAATCAGAATTCTTTTCCTATTTCATGCATTTCTCCTACTTTTGGTTAATCTGTAGGTAATGTCTAGCATACTTATTATGCCTTCTACTTAATTTTATGCTATTATGTACAATGGTAACTACTAGACAAAAGTTCCAAATAGTTTTGCAGAACTCTAGTGCTACTTAGGTCTAAATTCATTTTTCTACTTTGGACCTATTTTTCTCCCATGTAGAGGTAGAAATGAGAGAATTTTACTTGTGGTACACCGTCACTGTTAGTTTCTTTGGGGGTATAAAAGAGCTTGAACATTCATTCAAACACTCTATTCTTTGAAGGTGTGGCATATTTCTATTGTATATATTACTTGAATACTTTCAGTATTTTTCATTTATCCTTTCTCATTTCTTCTTGAAACACAAATTTAAGGTCTTCCCTCAGATGCAAACCTCTGGTTCCTAAGGAAATACCTAATTTATTGATGAGTCATGACAGTGGATTACATTCGAAGACTATCTAGGAAGTAGAGGTTTTTAAAATGAATTCCCAAAGAATGCGTGGAGAGTCAGAAATGATGACAGGCAAAGGTCCCCTATTTCTTATTACTATTCAGCCAGATTCTACTACAACCTAGTTAAGCCCCTGGTAAACGATACTGGAAATGATGCATATATTTGGGTCCAGTTCAGCGGAATGTCTCTGCACATTTGCTTGTAAAAAGTAATTTGTCATTTAACTTAGCATGCCTTCACACTTTTCCAGGACTAATTTTTTGTTTTGCCTGTCACATATGCAATGCCGAATACATCTCTTTCTCTGTGATGGCAAATATATATTGTAAAACTGAATGGCTCCTCTCCCTTCCCCCCCACCCTTTTTTCTCTATTTGTCTGACAGCGCTTCCCAACAGAGGACCATCTGATGATTCATAGGCACAAGCATGAAATGACTTTGAAGTTTCCCTCAATAAAAACAGACAATATGTTATCAGGTAAGGAGCCATCAGGCAAAAAGGCTTTGGGTGAACAAATCAGCTGCACGGGAGGTACTTGCTCTTCTTATGACAGGATGGTTTCCATTGGCAAATTCTGTGCCTTGAAGACATATATTTCTGAGGCACAGCAGAGACTTAAAATAATGGTAAGCAAAATGTAATCAGCTAATGTGGTGTTCACTCAAATAACTGGAGAGCTGGAACTTCTCATTTTCTGGAATGTAAAATGTTTGTTACTATGAAAGTTGGCTCCCTATAAGTATTTTAAAAATCACATGCCTGTAATCACTCAAGCAAAACATCCTCACTGAGCATCTGTGATGCACACTAAGCTGTTCTGGGTGGCATGGGAGATGCAAAGAGTGATACGATTTCTGTCCCTGAGGACATCACAATATAGTGGACGTGTGAAAATTAGGCTGGAGACCTGTGTTTCAAATGAATATTTGGAAAATGCTGTGTGACTTTAGTAGAAGGAGCTCTCTCCCTCCTCCCCCCTCCCCCCACCCCATCTTTCTCTTTATACTGAGGTGGTTAGTAAAAAAAATTTTTTAGGGGCGCCTGGGTGGCTTAGTCGGTTAAGTGTCAGACTTTCGCTTAGGTCATGATCTCGCGGTTCGTGGGTTCGAGCCCTGCGTTGGGCTCTGTGCTGACTGCCAGCTCAGAGCCTGGAGCCTATTTCGGAGGCTGTGTCTCCCTCTCTCTCTGACCCTCCCCTGCTCACGCTGTCTCTCTCTCTCTCCTAGAAATAAATAGAAAATATTTTAAAAAATAAAAAAAAATTTTTTTAATGAAATAGAGCCTGCCTCCTAAGTGGAGGTTTAAATGAGATGATAATGCAGGGAGACACAGCAAGTGGTCAGCAAATGCGAGCAGAAACAAATAATAATAACAGTTAGTCCATCAAGTAATTGCAATTTCTCCCCATTTTGATAGGTGGTGCAGTAAGGTAAAGCAGAGTGCAGGGCCAGGCGTGGGGACACTTGAACTCTAGCGTGTGCTCTGCCTCCACCGGCCAGATAACCTTGAGCCACATTAGTGAGACCTTTTGGGCCTCAGTTTCTTTTTACGTAAAATGGGAATGATTTTATCTGCCCAGTCTATTTCACAGGCTTCTTGTGAAGATCCAGTAGAAGAATGTCAGTGAAAGCATTTTACAAACCCTAGCGGGGTAATTGAAGTGTTTCCTGTTATCCTTTTAGGTGAGAAATATTTCGCTGAAGCCACTGTCTTCATGGCATCATGAAAGAGATAATATGCTCATAAACATGCTTTAAATGATATCAGAAGAGAAACGGACTGCCCTGGCAGGCCTGGCTCATATAATTTAGCATTTCTATGGCACTTACATTTTACGAGTATTTTATTATCCCTATTATTAGCAAATCCTCCAAGAGTTTTGTCAGACAGGTTATTATTACAACTCATATTTTACTGATAGAGGAGGGGGGCGCAGGGAGATGAAGCAGCTGCCCCCCGGCTTACCACACAGGGCAAAGCGACTATGTTCGCAGTCCTAGCCCGCCGACTGGCACAGCCACTGCATTGTCAGGCTTCACCGGTTTATCCCCGCCACCACACACTCCTGGTGCCAGAGTTGGCCACACATCTTCACAGTCTCGCCAGTGACTCGATGATAGTGCAGATGTGTTGGGATTTAGAAGAATCTCAGGCTCAAAAGCTGCCTCTTTCCTCGTCTCTGCCACCACCCACCACCTCTCAGCCTGTTTGTTTTGATGGACTAGTTGACTCTTCAGAAATAATTTTTATCTTCCCTTAAGTCTAGAAACACAGATGCAGAAGCTTAGATCTGCAAGAATTACAAAAGCCCAGAAGGGTTAGGAAGGAGAGTGTGTTCTTTTGTTTTTATCGTTTATTCTGTTTTATCATTTATCTACCATTACCATTATGAAGTGGTGTGACTTTATAGTTAAACACGCATATATATATATACAAGTACCAGAGCTGTAGATGTTGCAATTCCCAATATTTAAATTTTTCAGTCCTTCTCTTATTTTTCCCAAGTGGAATCCCAAAAATAGGCTTCTTAGTGTTAGGAGAGTGGGAGGTGTGTGTTAAGGAGTAGAAATTATGTGCAGGTATTACTGCCTAGTGGTAAGGACCAGGCAGTATCTTTCAGGTATACTTCTGGAATGGCCCTACAAGGAGCCCCATCCAAAGGTCTGAAAAAAAGGAATTAAGCATGTGTGAATGCTTCTATATGTTGCCTATAAACAGGCTTTCTTTCTTTCTCTTCCTTCCTTCCTTCCTTCCTTCCTTCCTTCCTTCCTTCCTTCCTTTAATTTGAGAGACAGAGTGAGCTGGAGAGAGGGGCAGAAGGAGAAAGGGAGACTCTTAAGCAGGTTTTATGTGCAGCACAGAGCCCTACACAGGGCTCGATCCTATGACCCTGGGAAAATGACCTGACCTGAAGTCAAGAGTTGGATGCTCAACTGACTGAGACACTGTGGGGCCCCTTGGGCCACTTTTTTTTCCCCTGCAATATTCAGTTACACAAAATTTCATTTCAGATGAATTGGAGTTGGACATATATTATGAAGAGAAAGGATGGTACATATGTTTCTTACTAATTTCAGGATATCTGGTTAACTCGTATTTTGGAAAATCACTTCATCCTTCAGTAATTGCAAACATTATTATTAGAGAAATTATTAAGATGCCACAGATAGGCTATTTGAAGGTAAGTATCCAAAGAGTTGTAAGATCTGAAATAATTTCATAGCTTTGTCATAAAGTCCATTGTATTTAAGCCAGGTGCAATTTACTACTCAAAATGATTGTAAATGATCTTTGACATGCCATAAGGCAGAGTAGTAAAAGTGGCAGTCATGATGTTTTATTAACATGAGTGCTCTTATGGGTAGAGAGTAAACATAAAACCTCATTTTAAAGAGATAATACTAGTTGGTACATGAATGGGGTGGGGGGGGGTGGATTCTGAGGTCAAAGACTTCTACCCCTCCCACCTTGGTCCTTCCATCCTTATTTGGTTCATGTGGTACATTTCTAGAGCTTTTTATGATGATGGACTTGAGTTTTCCCTTCAGCTGTTCTTAGTGTTAGTGAAGATAATTTCATGGTAAGAGAAATTGTGATATCAAAGATTTTTTAGGTGCCAAGGTAGAAATGGGAGCCCACTGAGCACATTAGCCTTTCACATACAGGTTGCAAAATTACCAGCTGTTATGTGAGAAGAGATGTGTTTGGTTTGAAAGTTATGATCAAATTTTAGTGTTAGAGCTAGAGAGTATGGTGTTGGGTCTCTTTTAATGGTATTATGATTAGGCATTCAGGAATTCCTAAATCTTGCTCTGTCAGCGATCCGCACCCCCACTTATTTACAGAGTGCCTGGGTTCTGTGCAGGAAAACACCAAAATGGGAATCAAAGTGCAACTTTATTTATAGCCAGACAAGCAAATAATAATCCACATGAGAAGTGTGTGTGTGTGTGTATTGGGAGAGTATGGCAGAAATTCTGACCTAGAAGATGATAGATTTTTGCTTCATGAAAAGGAAGATGAAGCTTAAGAGTGTTCTAGACCTTTCCTCCAAAGGTAAAACCCAATGAACATCTCAGGTGGGAAGGCTGAGAAAGATACATGAAACCACACCTTGAAATGCCTAATAATCCACACCAGACATCATAGCCCAATTAATGCTGGAGGCAACTGGTGCGTGTGCTTGGAGGGAAATTAGAGCAGGTGTCAGCTGAGGTGTGGGAAGAGGGGCCGAAGTTGTCCCTTCACCATCACTTATTCATTCGTTCAACAAACAGTGAGTGTCTGCAAAGATCCTGTTGTGCCAGGTGCGGGGGATGCTGCACCGACCAAGACAGATGAGGCCCCACTTCTGTGGAACTTACTATAGTCTACCGGGGTGGGGCGGAAGAGAGATCAGTGATAGTGCCCCTCCCCCCAGATTAATAAATAATGAGTTAGTGACAAGTGCTGTGAAGATGAAACATGACAAGGTGAAATAAGTGGCTAGCCGGCCGCTAACAGAGGTCAGGAAAGGCCCGTCTGCATTAGTGGCATTTCAGCCAAGACCTGATGCTCGCCACTGTGGGCTCCAGAGTCCTTTCTCTCTGTCTTCTGAATATGTGGCGGCGAAAGTGGTGACTCCACACCACCAGATAATGATGCAGCCGACACACAGAGAAGAGGTGAGAGAGACTGGCTTCCTCATTCCATCTTCCTTATCCCCATTCAGTGCAGAGACCTACCGTAAATGATAGTACGGTCCGTCAGAACCCAGTTGGGTCCCTGGATTAAGTCTAGAATGAGGAACTATCTCTAATTCCAGGCTCTAAACCTAATTCTCACCATGGAGAAAGCAAGAATGCTGTTCAGTGAAGTAGAACATGAGATTGATCATGATTAACCAGATGATCTCAGAACCCAAATCCATTGCCCATGGCTGTTTGCTACAAAGCTCATAATAATCCATGGTCATTTTAAAGGGGACGTCAGAGAAAAGGTGACATATCTCATTCCAAATTCTTTTTGGAATGAACTAGGGTCTTAAAAAAAACTGAATAGGTAAATAAATCTCTCTGTCCCTCTGTTTCTCTCGCTCTCTCTCTCATGCATGCGCACATATATGGACCATACTTACCTCCTCTTCCATTGATGATGAAGGTACCTAGTGACTTCCCACTATTGAAATTCATCAGATCTGTATGGAACAGAGGGTGGTGGGAATGGCTTGCATTGGAGGACAGCATGATAATAACAAGAGCTACCATTTATTGCCTTGTCTTATGCCTATAATTGTGCCTCCTGCTTCACATACATTATGTCATTTAATCCTGGCCACTTTTTTCACATGAAGAACCAAGGTCAGGAGGGTAAGCAGTTTGTCCAAAGTTCCTGTCTGTCTATAATTTTCTCATTGTACAACTAGATTTGGTGAACAACATACACTAAGAACATGTTTTGGTGTTATATTATTGGCTTATTTCTTCAATAGTCATCTT